TATTACCTTTTAGAATATATAATATATATATATGTGCATATGCGCATGCATATATATATATATATATTATGCATATATTTATATAAGTATATATATATATATATATACACTTACATAGGTTATTTTACTTATTGTATTATCTGTCCTTCTACATATTCAATTATATATGAAAATAAACATAGATATATACATTTATATATAAAAATGTATAAATATATACATACATTTAAACGCATATGTAAAGAAATTAGATGTCTGTTTAATTTTCTGTTGTTTGAATTTTTTGTTTTTTTTCAATTTGCAGCGCTGACTGCCAATGACTACGGGGCCTGGCTAGAACCTGGTGTGTATAAATAAATAAATAAATAAATAAATAAATAAGTTAATTAATTAATTAATTTATAAAATAAAGCAGTAGTTCATTTTAAAAAGAATATTTAGTGTTATTTAATGCATGCATTATGCATGCTGTTGATAAATATCTTTTTTTTGTTTGTTTGTTTGTTTTTCGCAGCATTCGCCAAAGTACTCTCCGCTTCTCAAATCGTTGTTACAAGTAAACAACAGCAATAACAGCAGCAGCTACTGCAGCAGCAGAAGGAAATGAAGAAGAAGCAGCAACAGCAGAAGAAGAAGAAGAAGCAGCAGCAGAAGAAGAAGCAGCAGCAGCAGGAGCACCAGCAGGAGCACCAGCAGAAAAAGCAGCAGAACCAGTAGCAGAAGCGATAGCAGAAGCAGCACAAGCAGCAATAGAAGCAGCAGCAGCATTAGTCGCAGCAGCAGTATCAGCACTAGCAGCAGCATCAGCAGAACAAACAGAAACAGCATCAGTAACAGCAGCAAATAAGATTTCGGCAACAAGTTTTAAAGATATTTGTTTGCATTACAGTGTATGTGCATGTCTGTGTGCATGCGCTTATAGAGGCTCCTGAATTAGAAAATACGCAAAGTGGATTCAAGCGACTGAAAGAATGTGTTGAAAAAGGTAAAGAAAATTAAAAGCAAATGTTTGTGGGTTTTAGGGTTTAGGGTTTAGTGTTTAGGGTTTAAGGTTTGTCTGTTTGTGCTGGAGGTGCATTCGTATGATATGCTGCTTGATTTAATTCTTTATTATTTAATTTAATTAGAGTTTTGGTGCTCTTCATTTTTATTTGACTTTTTTTGAATTTGTTTGTCTGCAGCACAAGCCGACATCATCGATCAATTCTCCTTTATTCCGGAGAGTGAGTCATTCACACATTTATTCTCTTAAAATAGTAAACATATGTTGTTGTATACATCCTAATATATAGTAATATATAGACCAACATATATATATACATATATATATACATATATACGTATATATATATACATGTATATATGTATATTTATGTATATATATACACCCGTACATATGTATGTACTGTTAAACAAAGTGACTGCAAGCTTTGTATTTGCTGCTTCCTCTTTTTGCTGCGATTTGCTGCAGTGCTGCACTTCGACATGCAAGCGGGGGTTTGCGGTATGGCTGTGAAAGAGCGCAGAAAACGAGAAAGCGTTTATTAATTGAAAAATATAATAGAGAAGAACAAAGCAAGAAAGATAAAATAACGACAGAAAAGAAGAGAGAGTGCACACG